CCCCCCCCCCCCCTCCACCGTCCGATCCATTTTGGATCTCACGCCGGAGAGTTTTGGGGTGTCTTAGCTCTAAGTCCTCCACCACCCAATGGGGGACTTGAGTATTTTTTTTCATGCCGTACCAATAGGCATTAACCTTAGGTAGGCATGTGCTTACTTTGGACTGTACTCTCCTCATCCTCTGGGGGAGGTAGAGGGAGGGGGGGGTGCATGACCTCTATTTTTCAGGGGCGGTTCGGGTACGGGTTGGGGGTCGGGTCTATGTGTACTGCATTCTCGAGTTGTCCCTCACTATAGCTACTGTGGATATTCAGTATACAGCTATCCTTACTCAACGCATCTATGTGTCCGGCAATCTCCAATACAAATCAACCTGTGAGGTTTCAGTATGCAGCTATCCTCACTCAACACGACTATGTGTCCGGCAATCTCCAATACAAATCAACCTGTGAGGTTTCAGTATGCAGCTATCCTCACTCAACACGACTATGTGTCCGGCAATCTCCAATACAAATCAACCTGTGAGGTTTCAGTATGCAGCTATCCTCACTCAACACGACTATGTGTCCGGCAATCTCCAACACAAATCACCTGCGAGGTTTCAGTATGTGTCTTTCCTCTCTCAACACGTCTATATGGGGCACTATCCAACATCACTCAACTCGTCAGGTTTCCGTATGTAGCTATCCCCACTCAAAGCGTCTATGTGTCTGGCAAACTCAAAAACCAACCCATCTGTGAGTTTCAGTATACAGCTATTCCCACTCAACGCGTCTTTTCGTCTGGCAAGCTCAAAAACCAATGCATCTGTGAGGTTTCAGTATGCAGCTATCCTCACTCAACACGTCTATGTGTCCGGCAATCTCCAANCTCGAGGTTTCAGTATACAGTTATAATCACTCAACATGTCTATGTATCCGGCAATCTCATACACTACTCAACCTATGAGGTTTCCGTACACAGCCATCCTCACGTCACTCGTCCATGCGTCACGCGTCTTTGGTAGCGCATACCATGGGGACTATATTTGGGGTGGCGTGTTTTACAGCGCTTTGCCAACAGCGCCAACCCNCACGCTCTCACATCCCGGACCAGGCTCTCACATCACCAAGCGCGAAGCGCCGTGAGGTATTCGGCGAGTCCCATGAAGGGTACGCTGCATCCTGCCGAGGGTGCTCGGCGTCTTGTGCTTACTTCCTTGCGCAAGGATGACAGCTACGTATGAGTTAATTTATTTTCTGGCGCGTTCACTTTCAGAGACAGTTCTCAGTACTGTGTAACTGCCTCGAGGGTGCTTGACCATTTTGACACAGCGTGGCAACGTGGCGCGATCATCCCCCTTGCGCGGAATGAGGCTTTTCCACCCCGCACAACATGATCTACTCGACCACCATTATGGTTACCGCCAAAAAAAAAAAACGGAGAAAAAAAAAAAAAACGGTAACCTGGTTGCCGAGTTCACGAAGTGAATTGGCTTGTTTTACAACGTCGTTGCCAAGCTACGAAAACCCAATCCCGATGGCAAACACCGAGGTGGGGGCTTGTTTTCCAACGTCGTTGCCAAGCAACGAGAACCCAATCCCGATGGCAAACACCGAGGGGGGGGGGG